CCTCACATGGGTGCGAACTATGCTAATGTATGTAAGTGCCTGACCTACCAAGGTGGTCAGCAATCTGGTTTTGCTCTCAGAACCGTTCCATCATTGCTGAGTTAGGAGAGCTGAGAGTCACCTGATAGACGAGCCCATTCCACACCGCCGCCCCCACCCCCCACTCCCCACCCTTGTGGCAGGTCTTTGAAATCAAATCTTCATTAAACACACAAGGGCTGCTTCACTTTTCCCTCAACCATGAGAGGTGAAGGATGCCTCCTTTCATTCAAATAAGGAGGCTCAGGTCTGTACTGGACCCTGCCTAAAACCTTTTATGAAGTTTTGCAGATTTTTATTACCACCAGTTCTCATCCTGGGTAACTCATTTCAGAACAAATTTTAAATGCCCTGTGTTGCCCTTACTGGGTTCTGCAGCAGGGTGGGGGTGGGAGGGTCGTTCCTGGGTCTGTCTGGTTCTTTTCTCTCTCTTTTGGTGTTGGAGGGGGGTGAGAGATGAGTTGAAAATAATCTCTTTAAAATGGTGACATTTGCTTAATCACATTGACATTTTTATGGTATCAAAGCCCTGCTTACTGAAATAGAACTCCAATGAAAAGGATAAAGAAAGCTCAAGCTTAGCTTTTGGCATTTGTATTCACTGATTCACCACCCTCCACCCCCATCTACCCACCGGCAGTTTTTCTCTGACACTTAATCAGATTATACCCAATAGAAAACACTGGTGGCTTGCGCATGCACTGGATTTGGACGCCACTGTTCATTTTTAACTTCCTTGAGACAAACTGTACTTTTCCACCTCTGGTCACCACACTGAATCACAATATGACACTTTTTCCAGCCAGTCAACAATGACACCCAATTTGACTAGAAAAAGATTCGAACTTAAAATATCCCGACAAGATTCAGGCATGCCAAAACAAAATGTTCTTTAATAAGAGAGACTGCGTTGGTACTGCTGAAGAGTTCATAGTAGGGCACAAATGCTCATTTTCCGAATTCTTAAGAGTTTATTCAAAGCCTGCAGTCCCTATTCTCAGAGCATCGGCAGGGGTGCAGGGGGACATTTGCAAGGGAAAATTTTCCAAGGAGGGAAATGATATAAATGATCAGAAAGATAGCACGTCATGAATGGCAGATTCAAACAAGCGGCTTGTCTGAAGTAGTACCTGGGATGGCCCTCATGAGAAGTACGGGCTGAACTGGGCCAGGGAGTGGCATCATCAAAATAGCTTTACAAGGTGATGGTTCATTCTGCAAAGCAATTTCTCTCTTTTGGAACTGGGAGTAGAGGGAGGGGAATTAAGGGAGCTGAACTGGAAATGGTGCAGGGGTTAGAAGAAAGGCAACTATGTCAAAACCCCATAAAGTTAAATGTGGACAAGGACAACAGCCCTGGGTATGACTAGGGAGGGACAGGACCAAGAGCCCTTGCAGAACAAAAGAAAACCAAAGTGAGATTTTTCGACTTCCTCATACCAGTAAACATACCAAAATGTACAGCAACGTATCCCAAGTATGTCCCGTGGGATCCCATGTTATCTGTAATCAGAGACTATAGGCAAAGTAATTTGGTGGTGGGGGGAGAGACACTTTAAACAAACAAAGGTAGATTTCTTCACTGTACAACTTCTCAAAGCCTTAACAAGCTAGCTGCATATTTTGATTTTCTACAAAACAGGGTACCTTATTTTCTAAGCTTATTTAATGACAGAACTTTAAATTTTTTTTGTCTGTTTCTTGTAGAGAGGATGACCTTAGTGATCTGAAGATCACAATTTGTGAAATAAATATTAAGAGTTTCTTAAGTTTATCATTCCGTCATTACATACTTTAGAAAAATTACCCTTTAAATGTTTTTATTTCATCGACATCGTCACAGTTCTTTAATTTTTAAAATCAGGAATTTACTTTCCCCATGACTTCTGACCAGACATTAAGGGAGTATTTATCAAACTTTAAAAAAAAAAAAAATTCCTAAGAAGATTATTTTCCTTTTGAACTGGGTATGGATACAAAACCATTACCAAAAGAAGTTATGAAATAACTTAATTGTTAATAGTGGTTAAGAATGGGGTAGAGAACTTTCCTTTTTGGGTGAGTTTGGGTGAACTACCAGTGAATAAGGAAACACAGCCTAGATGGCCTCCCCCACCCTTTCCAGATTCACTGTTCTGTGATTTAAAACACCAAAGTACTGCACCTACATATTATTTCAAGATTCAGTTGTTACATCACTTATAGTTGATATGCACTTGCCTAAAATAAAGCCCTAAAATAAAGAAACACAATCTACTCAGGTTTGTTTTTTTTCTCTTCAAGTGCCTAAACCAACCCAGAATGCCAAGGGATGTTGTAGAAAGTGGCAACCAAACGCCACCCACATCTCCGATGTCTCCGGGGCTTCCTTAGGGACCCTTCACTGAACTCTGAACAGTTTTAGCTACTGTCAGCCAAAGCTTCTGTGACCTGGTATTCCTGGGAGAGCCCATGTGCTGCTGGTTCAGCCCCTCAGGCGCCCCCTACAGTTCATGGAGCTGCATATTGGGAAAAAAAAATTTAGAAGCAAAAGACCTCTACGGTCCATTTGTCTCAGGACAAGAATTGCTTCTTCTGGGCTTAAGAATACTATACTCAAGGTGAGAAAGAACAGAAATTAAATTTGACAAAACAGAATATCCTCCGTGTCATACTTTATGTCGTAATAAAGCGTTAAGTTAAAGGTTTGAAAATGCAGTTTAAAATGTAAATACTAATACATCACAGTACTCGGTAGTCCACATGATTAATGGGCCAAATCAAAGACAGTACTTTCAATTCACATGCTATAGAGATTATTATCCCTGAGGCCGTCTCCTATGATGTTAGGATCTCGGGAGGAACTAGGGGTTGAAAGTCAAGACTTGTTGACCATGATCCTCTTGTACGGTGGCCAAAAATCAAGGCTCTTCGTTGGCAAAGACCCCCAAACTAAACTTCCCAGATAGTGACCTTCTCTGTGAAGACACATGTTCCCTTACTTTTGTTGGACATTTGCCCTTAAGCAGGTGACTTGGCCTTAAGCTCGGATCCTGACTGAGGCCTCACACACATACTGAAGGCAAAAAGAAAAAAAAAAAAAAAAAAAAGGACTCCGCAGGGCAGTATGCAAACAAATAGTGCAGATCAAAGACAACAACCCATCGATACTTATAAACTTACATAAGCAATGCACACTTGCCACTACAGTACCCGTATGACTGGACATCTTTTCGTATCAGTTTGTCCTGCCTTGACCCAAGAGTATATACCTCATACCTTTTTAATGATCCATTCCTAATCATGGAAGCATAATCTATTTATGTTCACAATAAATAAGTATATTAAAAGAAAGCTGAGTTAAAAGTTTTATTCATTCAACATCTCACATTACAAATATTTAAAAATTATATGCATACTGGTATAAATAGTCATTTGCAAACTATTTAATAACATTAATTTTCCACTAGCACTTCAACAAATGAACTCTTTTAAAAAAGGAACTGTGTTATATAACTTAAGAGTAGAACATACAAAAATAGGAACTTAACGTGAAAATGACTTTAATAAAAAATGAATTACCCTTATTCAAAATGCTATAATAAATACTACAACCTCCCCATACACAGTAAAAACTATATGGAAATTCAGCCAAGTAGTACAATTAACTGACATACTTAAATAACTTTTCCTTCTGATAATATGAGCAATACACTGGAAAAAAAAACATTAGGGATTAGTAAAAACTAGACACCCACTTGCTAAAAGTTTCACTTCCAAAAAATATAACAAAAATCTGATGAAAATTATAAAAACTAATTATACTTTAAATTTTAAAAATATAAAAAATAAAACAGTTGAATACAATATTGTCCCAATTCTTACAATGCTATCAATCACAGTAGCTTTAAAATAAGATAATAAAATAAAGCAAATGACCAAAACCTCTTTTATTCCATTTTTAAAAATAATCTCAAATTTACATTAGTAGAAAGATTGATTTCTGATTCTTTTCTTTAGAAACACCAGCAAGAAAGAGGATTACTCTTAACAGTAGAAAATGACATTTTTAAATGTCTGCAATTAAAAACAAAGAATTACACTGCAAAGATCTTTCAAAAGTTTGAAATAAGTATTGCACATAACTTGAAGTTAACTTGCCACAATTCATCACATTCAAGTTTTAAATCACCTTTTAACAGAAGATTCAACTCTTCAAAACAAAAGGGGTGAATTATCAAGTCTTTCCAACAGCACTCTCATAAAATGCTAAATTCATTCACTGCAAGTTTTATTTTGCATTCTGCAGAGGTCTGTGTATGGAGAAGTATATATATTATACCAAAGCGTGGGGCCCGAAGGGGAAGGGAGAGGGTTCCTTTACATAGAAAATAATCAGAAACACTTTATTTTACATTGCAAAAATAACCATGTAATTACTCTGTAACTACATTGTAAGTACATGGCCGGTGCCATGCTAGTGCGCTAGAACTACATGCTTGGTAAATTGAAGTGATACCCTAAAATCTGTAAACTAATTACATGTTAATTATGTTTTGAGTTACATGGTAACTCCCAACTACAATCCCATGTAATCTGAAGGACATGTAATCAATAAAGTTCAGAGTAATAGATAATAATTGTTTATGCCCTGTAAATTGAAGTGTAACCAAATAATCTGTAAACACGCTTGTCACACAATCACAAGTAAATATTAGTAGAATAACAATTTCTTACATTAGTCATGCATACTAACATTACACACCTGTCCCACGGCAGGCTATTTTTTTTCTTTATCTATAATTAAAAGAGCAGACATCTCTGAATCGAACACTTAACATCAATTTATTAATATTAAAAATGGCTAAACATTCACCAAGAATGTCTGCGTTATGAATAATTTTAAAAACTTAGTAAGAAGCTGTAGACAATTTTGTTATTTTAAATTTCTACCCTATGCTTATGCATTTAATTTTTTTTTCTTTTTAGGAACTACAGTGTTATCTGTCATTTTCATGCGAATTTTCTTCATTAATTTGTGACTTTACATAAACTATTTCTTAAGTTATAGGTACACCAATAGCTGGTGCTGGGGAAGGATGTTTAAGCAACATGCTTTCTCTTCTCTGCAGACTCTAAAATAGCATTGCCAGTGCACAACATTCATAATTTAAAATGTATGCAGAGCACTGAAATGTATAAAAAGCAGAATATAAGAAAATAAAATTTATTAAAATTATTTATATTAAAAAATGAAGTATATGAAGATCTCTCAGTAATAAAAGTACAAAAAGCTACTCTTTGCAATATGAAAAATTGAGGTATTGCATAAAGAGATATCCCGTCAGTGAAAAGTGTGCCTAAAAATGTTCACTGTTGGAAAAACAAGATATACAAAAGTAGTGCATAACAAATATACATTATGTGCATGACAAAATAAGTTAGCTACAAAAACACTGTACCGAAATTCAGCAGGTCATGTACAAAGGGAAAAATTATTCAAAGCTAGTTCTCAAACAGTGTTATTTCTTGTTAACTCATCACACCTGTTTACTGAGTAGGAACAGCACAATAGCACACCCCAAGCCACCTACAAGCATTTAAAAGAATAAAAAGAGGCAAATGAACATTTTGATTAGAATTATGTAGTTCAGGAGAAAAGAAAAAAAAGTCCCTGACCAGCTACACAAGAGCACCCTCCATTCGCATGACTGCTTTCAATATTTGTAGGGAATTCTTTAAAAGCAGCTCCCTTTCTGTGTTTGACCATTAGACAGCATATGTCTCCATTTTGACCTTTGGAACTTAACAGGTATATAGTTCATTAAAGCCTGTATTAAAAATAAAGGACTGCTTTTCCTAATGATAATCAGTAGGGGTCATCAGCCAGGTGGTTCCACCTTAGTGCTGGGGCAAGTCTTTGGTTTTGAAGGATCCAAGATGGTACTGTTAGGTAGCACAACTAGCAAGATTGCCATTAGATTTTTTTTTTTTTAATGTTTTGCACACTGGTAATAATCCTTTTAATGGTGGGTAGGGCATCTGATAAGAGAATGTCAATTAAAATAAAAGTTACTTCCATGACCAGGGCTTCAAGAGACTATTTTAAATTTACTCCTGAAGCATACTGTTCAACACATAATAACGCCTTTCAAAGCTAGAATTTTATTTATAATAAAGCATGCATTACTTGATGAAGTTGGCACTTCAAACACTGACTATGTCCCATGCTAAGTTCTGAAACGGTAATGTTATTTTATTTTATAGGAAGAGTAAGATAAACATACGTACCTTTGCACAGATTTACACAGTTACTTAGTTCAACAGTGCAAAACACTTTGCAACTACTTAACTTTTTTTTTAACTTTTTTTTTCATTTTCTATGTTACAACTAAATTACAGGATACCCAAAGTAACTTTAAATCTAAAAGTAAGCCAATCAACAGCCAATTTGTATATTGGTTTTGTTTTCCAGTTTTGGCTACAATTGTACTATAACACAAAATCAAAAACGATATCCTTGAGGTATCTCTAGGTCCGTTCTGTTCTGTCTTGTTTTTGAACGTCAAAATGGAGCAAAGGCTGACACCTGATGAGTGTTAGTAAATTAGGATAGAGAGTTTATACATAACATCAAAAATAAAATTTATACATTTGTTCTTCAGGAGAGGAAATGCTAGTTTTCCCACCAGTTGTCATTAATTCTAGCTTTGGTAGGTTTCCTGGGGCTGTGACCAGATAAGGAAGTTTAAAAAGAAGTAAGTGCACTCCCCTCAGTAGTAAATTTACCCAATTTTTACATTCTAGAATGTTTTAAAAATGGTTGAAAAGAAAATAAACCTAGCTCTGCCTACTTAACTATTTTTTGTCTGATGTAGTAGGAACTCTGAGGCGTCATGAAATTCTATTCAGCCTCTAAACCCTTACAATTTTTGTTCTAATGCTGCTTCAATCTTGCTCATGCATTTGTGTTTGCTTTAACATGCTCTTTCCTGTTAATAATTGTTAACTTCCTCCACTGCTGTGAAATGAATAAAAAAGGGGGGAGGGGAAAAAAGAGAGGCAAAAAAGAAAGAGAGAAAGGAAAAGGCAAAAGCACTTCTCTGGGGGAAAAACTGTGTCAGGACAGACTGATAGTGTTCTTGGTGCGTGGTTAATTTTCATAAAAGTATTCTTATATGTTATATTATTAACAATAATTTACTTAAAAACCCAAAATACTCTATTGTTTCATTTCTCTTTTAATATTTCTCTTTCTCCTCTAAGAAAATGTTACAGGAAGTTTGGATCCTCTTGGTCTCCAGCAAAACAAGAGAACAAAACTTCCACGCAACATGATGGCAATATGAAAAAGGAGTTCTTACATATTGTTTCCAGTGACACAAGAATCTACAAAACGCCTATATTATAGGTCATTCTTTGCATTATACTATTGTTAAGTTACGGGCTGCTACAAAAGGACATGCCGGCGTGAAGAGGTTGAGGAAGGGGTCAGAATTAACAGAAGAGTGCACTTATTCTGAGGCCTGAAAACGAGCACTGTAGTTACCCTTTAGTTCCAGCGGAATGAAATATGTCGCGGACGGTCACCGCCTTCCTTCACCAGGGGCTTATGGAATTCCCTGCCAGCACGAGAATGAATAGCAGCCCAGCAATATTCACAGTAATACTGCAGACAGGTAACATTAGCACAGAAAAATGGAGCAAATTTTCCCCCACAACGGGCCCCCTGACATTCATCACACAGCTGATCATCCAAGACATATGGCTTAACTTCCACCTGCAATTAAAAAGAAAAGAAATGGGTTCACGTTTTTTCATGAATGGCCCAGGCAACTCTGACTACAGTGCGTACATTTCCATCCACTGTCTGAGTGAATCTACGCCAGGGTGCCCAAAAACAAGGGTCAGTAACTCTTTTATTGGAATTAAGAGAATCCATCTTCTAAGAACCTGGGAAGGTTTTTACACCCATCATCTTACATTTCTGTCTTATGAAAAAGCCACTTTTCAAAGGAAAATGCGATTCTATCAGAAATCACAAAGGGAAGCCAACTGTTTAGAACATTATGAGATTAAACCCACAGGAGAGTATTTATAGGCCCAAACCATCACTTTAATTAGTGGATCTGGATTTTTGTCATATGTGGAATTATAATGTAAACAAACCAACTAAGGGCTTCCCAGTTCCACCAAACAGCGCTTCAATATTCACATCAGAGGGAAGATGCGTGGCTTCTGCGTCATGAGCTTCTAGGTTGTAATAAAGCCTGGGTCAGGGTTTCTATTTACAGTGTACACATCTTGGGTTATAACCACAAACTCAGAACTCTGAGAAAACAAGATTCAGCCACAGTCCTCACAACCTAAAACCTTGCTTTGTTCTTTGTCAGTAAGAATGGTTGACTTCAGTCTAAAAGTCAGAGGTGAATTTATAAAACTGGGTCTGTTCCAGTGTTCAATAGGCCAACCTGTCATTTGGGTCTCTCAAGCACTAAAAATAATCTGGCTATTAATTCACCAGTGAGAAAAGAGTAGGTTACTTTTACCCCTGGAGAGATTCATGGTTAAATTCCCCTATACCAGGCTATCACTACCACTGGTGCCATCTAGTTCTGACAAGGAATCCTGACAAGGGTTAGCTGTGAACAAGACGAGTGACATGAAGACAGGAAGAGCAGACAAAACTAGAGCATCAGCCTTCTGGCCCTGAGGCCATTCCATAACATCTACCGAGTGGCAAGAACACTGGTCAAAGATTTGATCGCAGAGGAACGCAAATGAAGTCTGCATTTCCAATGACTAACCTTACACCTCTGACACCTTTGTTGGGATGAAGCAGCGAGGCAGAAGACCCTGCTTACACGGATGTAGGTATTTTTTAGTGTGAATAAAAAACAAGTGGGCTTGTTAATGTATACTGCAACTTGTCTTGCCCTCTTCCTCTGTGTTTATAATAGAATCTATACCTTTCTTTTTATAGATTCACAATATAGTATGATATCCACTATAATCTTATATTTTATACTGACATTGAAGTAGCATACGCAGGAAATGAAACAAGCAGTAAGTGTAAACCACTACTGACTTGATAGTTTCTACATAATGAATTGAGAACAGCACAATACAATCAATAAGGACTTTTTTGAGCACAATGCCTCAGAGTGTTGATATCTAAGTCAGTCCTAATGAAAGTGCCAGTCTCCCATGAAATAAGGAGCTGACACCAGAATATAAATCAACGCATTGCTTCTTTCATCAAGAGAGTCTTTTTACGAGGAGGAAAAAAAACAAGTCAGCTGAACTAAACATTATGCTTACTAATGTAGCTGATTCACATTCTGGTGTAAATTCCTATCTCACCACAAGCTAGTAACCATTGGCTGCCGGCAGTCGATACCCAGGCCACACTTTGAGTAGTATCAGTGGTATAAGACACACATATATGTATCAGAACATAAACTCCTGAGGACAGGGACTTCTTGTCCTAGAGGCTAAAACGTTTGTCGAATGCATGAAACACAAAGATAAGAAATAAATCTGTGAATGCAAAGAAATAAGATGGACAACGGAACACAGAGTTTCAAATACAGTACCTTAGAAAACAGAGGAGAACACTATCTCTGAGATTTTCTCCAGCTTTTTAATTCAGAAGCTAAACCAACAAAGAGGAATTTAAAGTGCTGAAAATAATGCTAATTACTACCTAATTTCAGGTGGTAGAATACACTACAAATAAAAAGATTATGACTTCTACTTAATTTGTTACAGTGCAATATTGCCAAGATATGCAGTCCTACAAGTGAATTTATTCAGTCATTTGTTACACAGTACACTGGAAAAATAGGGCTTACTGAGGTATTCATGATCAAAAAAAAAAAGGTCAGGAGATCTCAAGGGCATTGATGTTTGTACTTGATATACTGATATTTACTGAATGACTGACTAACTGAATAAATGAATGAACGGAGGCGATAGCTTAGGAGATTAAATTGCCCCGAGTAAATTGATACAGCGTTCTGGTTAGGCTACTCAAAACACGAAGGGATAGAAAAAATTCGTAGGAATCCTTAGATGTATCACAAAGCATATACCTAATTGGTCCTAGAGGCATAACTGTCAGCTGCCAATTTTACTGTCATATAAAATCCCCCCATTCCAATCTTGGTAATGACACACTGAGAGGGCCATTTCTAGAACTTTCCGGAACATAATCTACGACTTACCCGTTTATCTATCTCTCCATGCTGCAGCTGAACAAAGCGGGCACTGATAGCAGCTATGTAACTCTGTTGATTAGAGAATGCAACTCGCCCAGCTCCTTTTGGGTATTTCAGCTCAGGGTCGGTATCAATGCCAGCATAGCACACACCTCCGTACAGACGATCCATTATCATGGCAAGCTCCACTAAATGAGAAAGGAGCAAAGAGGGTATGTGAAATCAGGAAAATCCATCTAGTTCACCAAAGGTTTCATCTAAAGCAGTTCATCTGTATTCTGAGCTCATATCCTTATAATAATTACTAAATCAATCATTAATCTTTAATCTTTTAAGTAAGGGCAGGTGCTCTGCTGGGTGCTTCACGTATGTTCCCTTTTAATCTTCACAAACAACTCTAGGAAGTAGGTAGTAATTTCCTGGGGAAATCGAGGCACAGATGGTTAAGTGATAGTGCTGGGCTTGGTACCCTGGTCTGTCTGCTTCTATAACATGTTGACACCATATATTTACAGTTAATAACGTATTGCTTAATATAAACAATCATGTGAACACTAGAAAATTGATTGGCAGACTTTGTGTGGAGGTCCTTCCACATTATCATCATCAAATCCTTGTTACCTTTCCCTACAAGTCTAGCTATTCACCAATTTTTTATATAAAAACCTGAAATAATGAATGTATCATGTTCTCCATGAAATGTTACAATTTTGAAACAGCATTCTTGTTCATTTTATGTTTTTCTTCCTCACTTACACCAATAAACCTCATTTTACTTGAAGTTGGGGATGAAATTTCTCCTGTAAGTACTACTCTTAAAAATATGATGCACTGCTGAGAACCCTACTATATTTCGGAGCTCAGTAGATAGCTGGTAAGCAAATGCGGACATGGGAAACAAACCCTGAAATTCTTGACATATAATCTACTCTCGAAGGGTTTTTCCAGATGATGATGAGAATGATGCTCACTAACACCACACACAGCACTTGGCACCACTTTTTCCCACTTAATCCTCAGAACAATTCTATATGAAGCAGATACACTTATTACTCCATTTGACTGATGAGGAAATTGAAAATGAGGGAAAATAATCTGTCCAACATCATTCTACTATTAACTGGGAGCAGAGCACATGAATTCAAACCCAGATACTTTGACTCTAAAATTCTCGCTCTTGCACATTAACTCAAATGCTCCTGGAGAATTTTTCTAAAAACCTTTATAAGGTATTTCTTATGCTGAAGGGTAAAGGGGGTATTTCTGTTTGTTTCATCATACCAGCTCGTAATGGTCGAGGAACACCACCAACAAATATAGTTTTTCGTGGGTCAAGAGGCTGTGAACCATCCATCACAAAGTCACTGTCACTGAGATTCCAAGGCCGAATCTGTACCTAGGGAGCAGACAAACCGAAATGTCTCATTTTTAATGCAGACAATTTATGAGAAAATAAGTTAAAAATTATTGCAGAGTATTTTAAGAGCAACAATAATCCACATCATTATAAATCAATAAAGCTGTAAAATTAGAAGACTTATATATAGCATAGCCCAACCCTTCATTTCATTTTTAAGAGTAAACCAAATGATTTTTTAAGTGAACCATTTTTAAGTGAACCAAAGTGGAAAGTTCAATTTTTATTATCTATTATAAGCTAAATCATTAACATGTCCTTAATTACTGGTAAGTCAATCAACTATTTCTCAAATTATTTGGGCTTCTATCCTCCCCAACCCCCCAACATCCACATAATGTAAGTTAGTACAGTATTTGATGTTGATCAGAATACAGTGCTAAATAAACTAGGATTGTGTGTCCAATCCTACAAACGCAAACTACTCCTGACCCTAACAAATCTGTTGCGTTATTTCAAAAAGCATTTCCAAGTAAAAATGTATATATTTGCAGCAAACTTATGATAAAACACTTCAATGTGGGGCGCCTGGGTGGCTCAGTTGGTTAAGCGACTGCCTTCGGCTCAGGTCATGATCCTGGAGTCCCGGGATCGAGTCCCACATCGGGCTCCCTGCTCAGCAGGGAGTCTGCTTCTCCCTCTGACCCTCTTCCCTCTCGTGCTCTCTTTCATTCTCTCTCTCTCAAATAAATAAATAAAATCTTAAAAAAAAAAAAAACACTTCAATGTGTCCACTGCTTTAGTCAACTAAGAATCGTGTACCTTATTTTTATTGTTTGCATTTATTAATTGTTAGAAATGCCCACACCAAAGGCTATGGATGGGTTCATAGTAGGATATTCCTAATATGCACATCAACAAAGTCTTAAGCCAGAGGTCCCAAATTCAAATACCTATGGGGACTGCAAGGGAACATAAGTCAAGTATAAAGAATTTAGGCCATGGGAATTCTGGGAAAAGTGTTCCGGACTTAGGCAATCCCAAGATACCAAGAGGAGCTCCATTAAAATGCTATTGCTTGAGCTGAACCCATAGGCACCTCCATTCTGAACTGTACCCCATTACTAGATCTGGCTGAGTGATAATAAATTGTTAATTTGCCAGATTCATCCAAACAGGCCAGTTGCTACTATTCCTAAAAACTAAATTTTATGATAAAAACTTTTTCAAAAAGAAAAAACAGTATGCCATGCACATTTCTGTATATACATAATTCATTTTACTTTGGGAGAGTACCATGTGCAAAAAGTTAAGGATAGTATTGGGCAAAATCTTTTTTTTTTTAAAGATTTTATTTATTTATTTGACAGAGAGAGACAGTGAGAGCAGGAACACAAGCAGGGGGAGTGGGAGAGGGAGAAGCAGGCTTCCCGCGGAGCAGGGAGCCCGATGCGGGGCTCGATCCCAGGACCCTGGGATCATGACCTGAGCCAAAGGCAGATGCTTAATGACTGAGCCACCCAGGCGCCCAGTATTGGGCAAAATCTTGAACAAAGAGGGGAAGGAGACAGACAAATATCTATTTGTGATTTTTGAGTTCTATTATTCAGAGGAAATTCAGCTACTTTATCTTTATCAAATGCATTATCAAGTTAAATCTTTTAATGGTAAAGACTTACCACTATTTTAATTAACAAAAAAATTCAATGTCAAAATAATGTGTGTAAATAATATAGAATGTCAACATTACGAGGTTGGCAACAACAGTAGTTTGTAAGTAGATTACAAACATCAATTAACAGATACATCAAGATGTCTGTGGGTTTTCAAACAAAGCAGAAATGAAGGCAAAAACAAGAAGCTATTTTCATGTTAGACAGCACTCACTGGTTTATCTTTGATAGTGGGACTTGACACACACAGGTAGAGTTTTCCATCTTCTTCAATACATGCATCAATCAGAGCCTGAACAGAGCTTTCATCTTGAAAGAGCAGGAATGCATAGCCTGATAAAAAGGAAAAAAAAAAAAAAGGCTTATTTGTTCCCTAAAATTTTTTTTTTAATTCTTCAACAGAAAGGAAGTATAAGCAAAACTAAGGAAGGGAAAAAGAGTAAAAAAAAAAAATTAAGAAAACTTAAATCTTCCTACGCAAAGTCTGATAGTATCAACATTAAGTTGTTTGTTATCTTGAAACATCTTTTAAAGTAAAATTAAATTTGAACTGAAAGTATGTATTAGGTATAAATTTAAAGATGCATTTGGGAAAATATAAGTTTAACAATGGAAAATCTTACAGCGAAGGTAAACTTTTATGAAAAGGCTAAACATTAAACAATATAAGGATACACTGTACATGTATACTGAATCTTGAGAATTACCTTTAGGAGGAAAATAGGATTTGCTCTCTGCTTTATGAGGCCAATCCACAATCAAAGGGCCAAAGCGACGAAAACTAGCTGTGATCTCATCTAATGAACAACAAAGCAAAGCAAAACAAGTAAATTTAAATATTTCTATAATCATTTTGGGGAAGTAGTTTAGAAAAAAAGTTTCAAATCTACTATTTACAAGAACAATACAAAGAACTCCTGTATCCCCTTCATCTAGATTCCCCCAACTGTTACTATTTTACACATTTGCCTTCCCCTTCTTCCTTCTTTCTATCTTTATGTATGCATGAATCAACCTATCTACCTACCTACCTACCTATCATTTTTTTTCCTAACGTGACGCTCTATAACCCAGAAATACAACCACTGGCACCTGCTCAAAGCAAGGTCATTTCCTCATGTACTACCATGTAACCTTCCCAATCAGGAAATCAATATTCATACAATATTACTCCCCAATTCACAGACTCCATCCAAATTTCAAACTATCCCAATAGTATCTCTTTTCCCCTTTCTGATCCAGAATCCTATCCAGAACACACGATACACTTAGATGTTCTGTCCCTATAGGGTATCTGTATTCTTCACTTTTGGAACAGCTTCTCATTTCTTCCTATCTTTTACATCTTTGACAGTCCTAGAAGTATAGAGGCCATTCGTTCTGTAAGATGACTCCCAGCCCGTACCATTTCCTCATGACCAGACTCATGAGTAGACGACAGGAAAATAAATTTCCAAAGAACTTCTGGAAAGAGTAGGTAAGCATGTATAGATAAGACCTGGGAGGAGGGCAGGACAGAGGAAAAGAAGAGATGAGGGATGTGTTCAAATTCCAAGCCGGTAGAACTGTTTTCCTCTCCTCCAGATTGTGAAAACAGTACAGTCTGCTCTGCTATGCTGCCTGTTTCTGCAGTACCATTTAGCTCATGAAGACAGACTGGTGAATAGAGGAATGAAATCACTATAATCTGGAAGTTGTACTGGTTCGCAAATGATTGTTCCTGGGCAAGGTGAGCTAGCATAGTGGTAGTAGAATTATAACCTTCACCAGGAAGAGAAAAAGCCCTCGCTTGTCTGATATGCAGGCAGGAGCCCTCCTACTCTCTTATAAGGAAATAAAAAATGAGCACAGCAACCAGGCCTCTCTTGCTAGAGAGGCACACTCCCAACCTTGCAGGGCTCTCATCTCCTGGGAGTGTGCACTTTCTCAGGTGCTCAGAGGTCTGATTACATCTGCGCTGCCTCCAAGCCTGCAAGCCAGCATTTCTGCTCTGTTGGTTTTACGCATTCTCAGTATTCCTTGAGGCAGCTTCTAACTACACTGAGCTACTTGCCTGAATTGTCCAAGTTATTTTCAAGGTATTAATTCTCTTTTTGTTAGTGCTTCCGGCACAAAGGTCATTGGGTTCTGAATTATTTGCTTCCTACCCTATTTCCCCAGAAACCTTATAATCTTTAGTGTATAATTCTACAGAACACACTATTCTCAGGAATACATATTTTACATTATAGTAGAAAGGTCTGTCTACTTAAATTGCTACTGATTTATCAACATGCTTGATGATTATCATAATTCCCATTAATTTTGCTCAGTTTAAACCATCTCCTTTGCCAGACTAGTCATATTTATCTGTGCTCCTAAGAATTTTAGAAATTGCACAGTTAAGATTGCTCAGTAATTTTCCAAAAAGATATAGACTATCGGGGCCAGAGAAGGAGTTTATTCCAGGCAAGGTCAGATAAAATTCACTCTTTGCTCTCTTTTTGTATGTAAGCATATAATTCATTCATTAAACACCATCTGGGCTAAAGACTTGACTTTCAAGGGTCAAAAAAACAAGAATCCACAGTACTAAGGAAAATGAGAATTCCAGGTAAAGAAAAGAGCAGGCCACACCCAGGAGCTTATTAGAGAGGCCAATATTGTGACCACATGGTCAGCCCAGGATGAACACTTTGGAAAGCTAGGTCCTCTGAGAGCAGGATGAAGACTGATTCAGTCTAGCCTGAAATCCCAACACAGCTTCCACCCAAGACAATTTTTCATAGATTAAACAAAACAAACCAAAAGAGAACTGTGTTTATTTCAATCTTTGGCTTTTTGAAAACTTTGTCTCAACCTTCCAAAAGATTGCCCATCTTAAGGAAAATGAAGTGACTCAATATATTTAATCTCAGTCTAAACTGGAAGTTATTAAAACCTTATTATTAGACCTTATAGAGTTTTAGAGAAAACGATTCTATTCTCCATAACATTAATTGGTTTATTGCCATTTCCATTTAGGAAACCAAGACAAAAGAGATTAGGGAAACAACCACCATCACCACCACCACTAAGGATATATGGTTGCTACTTGAGTTTTAGTCTGAACTTGAACTAGGGTCACTTAGGCCCACAGATGCAGAAAATATTGCTGAACAACTAATCCTCTAAACCTTTGGCTGGCTCCTAAGGCAGATCTCAGCTCAAATATCACTTCCTTAAAGAGTATTTCCTTGGGGCACCTGGGTGGCTCAGTCAGTTAGGCATCCAACTCTTGATATCAGCTCAGGTCTTGATCTCAGGGTTATGAGTTCAAGCCCCACACTGGGCTCCACACTTGGCATGGAGCCTACTTAAAAATAAATAAATAAATAAATAAATAAATAAATAAATAAATAAATAAATAAATAGAAAAAAGAGGCTTTCCTAAACCACCTAATCTAAGAAGATACCCTGAATCATATCACAAAACAGTATAATATCACGCTATTTTCTTTTCAATACTTACTCTCTGATATTTTCTTGCATGATTACACAGTTTTTATCTGCCTTCCCCTACTAGAATTGAAACTCTATGCACACAAAGACCTTCTATCTTGGTTATACTGTAAACAAACCTAAGAACAGTGTGTGACTTTTAAAGAGCCTGTAAATATTTGGCAAGTGAAAAAATACTCAGAAAATGATAAAACTCTTAAGATTCCCTTTCTTGTGGTACAACTTTAGGGCTTATTTTTCAAAAATTCATCCTTAATCTAAGATTTCAAATTTTCAATTAACTACAGTTCTGGAGCAGGTAGGAAACAAACAGGAAAACATATCTGGCCAAGGCAGCACACACAGACAAAAATGCAGTAAGCACTATGTTTGCCCACAACAGAACCCCTGAGATGGGTTTCCCAACGAGAGTTACTCTTTTCATTTAGTCTAATCACTTGCTTCAGCTGGTTCCCAAAGTCCTGCGCCCCTTCTGTTGTAAACTAATCTTATATGCCAGGATAGAAAGACAGGACAAGAGAACAATGCAATCAAAACTGAATACCTGGAGCCAGACAAGATTGTTATTAGAATAACAGCAACCACTATCTATGAGTTAGCTACTATGTGCCACAGTCCAGGCACTGTACAATTAACAGTTCTTTGTAAATATACCTTCATCGATGTCAGGAGGTAATCCGCCCACAAACACCTTGCGAGAATATCGTTCCACTCTTTCTCCATTCTGGTGAGTGAAGCAGTGAGGTGAACCCAGGCCACTATGAAGAGGTTGATCCCCACGGCCATCATCCAAGAATCCATCTTCCATTGGAAACAGTGAAGACTGACCTGGAATAGAAAGCAGGAAAAAAAGCTAACAACAAATGTTCCTTGCCATTGCTGATCTTACACAAGAAACAAGGAAAACAGCAGATTCAATAAAATGGCTTTTATTTTTCTCACTGAATAGCAAATCACTTAGATATGCTCTTGAATTCCCATCACTTTGAAGTCTTAGTGGAGTCAGAGAGAAAGTACATGGTTAAATAGAAGGCTGCTCAACTATCCGCCTGGGATCCAGAAACTTCAGTGAGGTGAAATGGAAGTACAGGAGGAGGGAGCAGTCTTTTGAAAGCTGTTGGCAGTAGACTGCATTGCCTTGGCAGGGCCCCAGGGCCACAGGCAGCCTAGACATGTACACTAAGGATTAAATTCGACTATCAGATGCTAGATCACTTAAATTTTTTTAAAACACAAAATAATATAGCCTACCCAATTTCCTCTAAGACTGTCCTTAAAACGAACAAGTCCATTTTTAAAGTGAGCACTCATCTTGGTTTACCTTAATGGGATATAATCAAAACCCATTGATGGCTGTTATCCAACTTCACTGCCTAGTATTAAAGAATTTAAGATTTTTAGGCATGCTAAAGATTTATTTATTTTTTTTAGTTGAGTAATTAGCAGCTGCCACTAGAGCTATCTAATTCTAAAAAGTCGTCATGAAGTTTGCTGTTTGAAAATCCTACCATACAGAATATATAAGCAGAAAAGACCAGAGATGCCAATGTGGTTAATATTATTCCCGTGTTTACCTGACAACAAAATACGAACTTTGGAAATCATAAGCAAAACACGGAGCTACAAAAAACCAGAATCTTTCAAGCACTGTTTCGTCACTTGTCAGGCTGGCCAATTTACTTCTAGGTACTACATAAGGAGTTTGTTAATGGATCCGATAGAAATGTAGGTTCAGGGCTCTTCCTTTACTGAAACATTCCAATGTCTTTGTTGCCACACTTGTCTTCCTTTCAGCTTTCCTAACTAAACACAAGTAATAGTATATTTATTATGAATTTACCCTACAAAACTCGAGTTATATAATGAAGATAAAAAAGGACTATAAAATTGGAGGTTTTTTCCTAAATAATTTTTAAAAGTTGCTTACATTCGAAAGTTGAGCTATTTGACTATCTAATTTACTTGCTTGTAAAAAGGCAAAGCTATCACAGGCGGCAAAAATAAGGTTTATTCAGGCACCTCTAGGAAATGATTCTTTAAAATTCTCTAAAATTTCTAGAACTTTTTCCCCCAATGTTTGAAATTTATAGTAGTCACTTATTTAGCTAATCTCATTTTAAACCAAATGTATTACGCTAACCTAGTAGAAAAAAATAGACACAAGGTATTCAAGTATAACTGAGCTTCCAATATAATCAAGTCACACTATATTTTCCTTTCAAGTCACACTATATTTTCCTATTTTAAAGATCCTTAATTTTTTTATTCCAAGAAATTCCTTTCAGAAAAGAAAAAGGTGAAATAAATCTTCAGATATAAATGAGTTGAGTTTATAATACAGGACATTACTGATTCGAATCCAGACCCTACCATTCCGACTCCTTCAAATTAGAAAGTCTATAATCTTAACTATGACATACAAAGTATGTATGGATCAAAGCTACGTCGCATTTCCCCCTCCCCACCTTCCCCACAAGGGTAAGAAATTGAGCAAACTTAGGTCCTCTCCAAATACAACTGGTACATTCAAAAGTTAGAAACAATAATGTTACCTCTCCTTCGCCCATATGTCCTTGCTGCATGTCAAATGAGAAAAAAAACAACCTTTCAAACATTGTCAAAAGAATCAACTGTGATTTCATCTACCAGCTTTTGAACCTGAAAAAAAAAATTGGCTATGTTCCTCATTTCCTAGTAAATGTCTCAAAAACAAGGAATTTGGATGGTGAGAGGTCAATTTAATGCACGCTTTTTTTTTTTAAGTTCTTCAAGCACACTGTAAAGCTGTATTGAATTTTACTTGTGGTAAGATAAGTAGTTGGCTGTAACTGTCACTCAGGATCCAGACTAGTACGACACTCAGGTAATATGTAACATGATCTAAACCAATTCCTACCACACTGATCTTAAATGCTCCCAAAATTCCCTGCTAACTAGCAATTCAGTAAATATTTCAATATTTAATTCATGACTTTTTCACCACTACAGGATAAACAGCAATTTTACACCATGGCTTTATGATTAATCCCTAATAAAGAAAATCATAACAAATGAAATCTTTAGGCAACTTATAAATTTCCTTTTAGCCAAAAGAAGTTTCTTGTCCCTTGTCAAATTTTCCACCATGTCCCAAATGCTGAAAAGTATAAGGTTTGGCATTTTATTGCCAAGTAGGTTACAGCTAAGAAAAGAAAAGTATATAATAAATAATATAATATAATATAATATATTTCCCTGAATACTTGGGAAATGGTAGTATAAACTTTAAATCAAGGAACTTTTGAGAAAATGTCTTCCCTGAAACAAAACTGGCACTTATAAGCCCAGCTTGTCCAATTACCTTAATCCTATTCAACAAACATTGCTTAAATGCCTGATCTTGCTAGGGACTATGGATAAACAGCACATGGCCCTGACTACAACGGAACTAGCAACCTTAAATGCCAGACAGCCACGTAAGAGAGTAATGACAATGCAGCATACCTATTTTTATTGCTATTGTACTTATGTGTTAGGTACAACAAGAACAGAGGAGGAGAAGCAACTGGCTCTGATTAAAGAATCAGAGAGGGGGGTGTGGCATTTGAGGAGGAGATGGGATAGCATTTGAGACCTTAAGGAAAAAACAGAGAAAGGGCATTGCAGGCCTGGCAACACAGCAAATAGGGGTGCTATAACGTTCAGGGAAAGATGCCTAGAACAGAAGCACACGGAACAAGTGAGGGCTTGACTAGAGAGGAGTGTTCAAACAGGAAGCTGGGAAAGATTCCTGAGTTAGAAGGTGTAGCACCTTTAAGAAGTCATTATACAGACTGGTCAGGGTTTTCATTCTTAGCCCACTAGATAAATGCTCAATATGTATAACTCAGTTATAACTGAGTTGTAACTTGGAAGTACCATGTGCATATTTTCCAAAATGAAATTGTCTTATGCCAAAATACATTTCTTCCATTACTAGATACACTGAATTTCACCAAAGTACTTGAACAAATGGATTAAAACCACATAAAATCTCCCTCAGCTAGGATTTCACTTTGCTAGAGGTCTTAAATTTGGGGTGGGGGGGCAGGTATTTTCTCAGTCAACCTGACATAGGCTAAAAAGACAAAGATATCATAAAAACAGATGCTTAAGAACATTCTATTCCTATGACTGCTTCAACAATAAGGGAGTTTGGGAAAATAAATGATTTGAAAATTTTGGTTCTGTCAATCTTAAAAAGTTGATTGATGCTGCTTAGATTTCCAAGAAAAAGGATATTTGAAAAGAATAGAGACTTTTAAAAGCTAAAAAATTAACATAAAACTCTCACAGCTTCCATTTATCAAAAATAACTACAGTTTCAGGAATAGTAAGTACTACAGATTAAAGGCAAAAATCAAATAAATCTCAAATTCTTTAAATATGTTCTTTCAAACTTTGATCTTGTACCACATAATTAAGCTGGTTAATCTAAGAGAATTCATGGTTAAATTCTGAAAACTACCTAGAAATGTTTTCCCACATTGAGAGAAAATAAGTTATAGGTGTACGATGCTTACAACCATAAAATCTGCCAAATCAGAAAGGGAAATTAATATAAATTAGTATCAAAAAATAAAAACAATGATATTCTGAAACACAGAAAATGAGAGCGTTTAATTTTTTTACTTCTACTTATTATAATGCTGTTAATAACTATACATTATTTTCAGTGTAGATTTTGACATGACATGTATACAGAAAAGTACACAAAGCGTAAGTACAGAATTCAATGAATTTCTGGTAACATGAACATACCTATGTAACCAGAACCCAGAGAGTAACAAAATGGTAAATGGTGCCCCTTCACCCTACACGTGAAAGATGTACTAAGCACCTTTTTCCCAACTATTTCAAATTATACTTGGCTTAAGATTATTATGATGCCATACTTGTAACACAGATCTTTACCACTTTACTGAGGAAAATGTCAGACAGATTTTCAATCTCATGATTATCAACTGTTGCATATTATTTGATGGTTCTGAAACATCCAAGGAAGTGGCAAGTTAAAAAAAAAATAATTCATTTTAAATATGTTTAAAGAAATCTACATTTCAGAAAACTTCCAGCTAAGTTGGCTGAAATAAACTCTGCCCAGATCTTTCCTTTAATTACCAAAGAGTACACTGTTAAAAAGATTTTTAAAATGCAAGCTGCTATTGAATACAAATCTTCTAGTACCCATAGGATTTAAAATGACTACTATTTATACATTTATCTTTTATTTTTATTTCTTAGTTTTTACTTATAAGGTCCTTGATAACTTCATATTCAGTACTAACATGATTCAAGAATGTTCTAATAGACTGGAAATATTCTAGCTATAAATTTTTATAATTTCGGGATGCATGTTGCTATTAGATCTATTGAAAAGCACTTTATTTTCCCAAAATGTCTTCATAGGATTGCTTACAAATGTCCTATATTCACCATTAAATTCCCTCTAGTAAAACATTTTACTACTCTGGGAGACTAGATTTGCAAAGAAGGTACAGAAAGACTTTTCAGATATTTTTTAAATATACATTATATCTATATATATTTCATTATAAAAATGGAGACTTTTTCTTAGAAAATATCATTTTCTCACTTGTTATAACATTTGTTATAATCAAAAAGAAATAAAGTATCCATAACAGCGATACAATCATGAGAAGTAAATACCTAGCATGCAGCCATTTTAAGAGTGGCACATATCGGGGTGCCTGGGTGGCTCAGTTGGTTAAGCGACTGCCTTCGGCTCAGGTCATGATCCTGGAGTCCCGGGATCGAGTCCCGCATCGGGCTCCCTGCTCAGCAGGGAGTCTGTTTCTCCCTGTGACCCTCCCCCCTCTCATGTGCTCTCTCTGTCTCTCTCATTCTCTCTCTCAAATAAATAAATAAAATCTTAAAAAAAAAAAACAAAAAAGAGTGGCACATATTCATGTGCTGATATCTAAAGCTCTCTAAGATGTAGTTTCCATGAGTTTTCTATGTGTGTACTGTATGATTCTTATTGTGTACAAGTAGAAATAAAGAAAATACAAGCAGGTATGTGGGAATATGCGTAAAACTTTTTTCTAGAAACAACCACAAGAACCTTTAGAGAGAAGAACTGGCATGGGGAAGGAAAGAAGGATTTCACTTCTTGATTTACCCTCTTCTGTACTATTTACATTTATTAACTATATTATTACACTTGTTCACAGACCCTTTTTTGTTTTCTTCTTGGTACTTATGTTAAAAACAAACAAATGATATATTAAAGAAAAACATCCTTTCCTACATGAGAAGACCTAATCATCTTTGTAAAGAAGATGAGGGATAAGATATTACTAGATTTTAGTAGGCAATGAAAGACTGCCCATACTCAGGCTACTCTGGCCCACCTCAGGCCCTCCATCTACCTCTCATTGCCCCAAGCTGAGAAAGCAGATAGCAATTCTATTTGGAAAAAAAACAAGGGGAGAGGGCTCAGATTAAAAGATGTTATCAAATAACTGATTTTTTCAGTAGGACTAAAAAAAAAAAGTATGTAGGGGAATTACTTAAATTAGTAAATCATTTAAAAAGATGTAAGTCAAAGACTGGAAGCTAAAAGGAATTAATCTGTTAACAAAAGAATAAAGATGATAGAACCAAAAAGCAGATAATCATCATAAAGACCAGGGCATACAATTCAACAAAGATGCAAAGAATCATTTTATTTATTTATTTATTGTTAAATGATCTTTGTTAAAGATCATTTATTGTTAAATCAACCCATAATGTAATGGACTGACTCACTGTCACAAAATTATTTTAAATATATGCCTAGTGGTTGAGATTTCATATGTCACATTGGCTTGTATTTATACTAACTTGGTGGTACAATATTCAAAGAATGTCAATAAGCTACAAAAAAGATGAGACTAAGATATTATTTGTAAAGAGCTATCTTAGGAAAAAAGGGCAAAGAATGGGACTCTAGTTTCTCTACGTCCCTAACCTTCAGTTTTTTACAAAAATGGAGAGCTGATCAGAGAATAACAAAAGATACCCTATGTATACATGATGACCACACAGTCAGATGTTCAGTAAGTAGTAATTTTTTCCTTTCCGCAAAAGTAAACTCCTGTGTCTATATTCTGAGGTTGTCTTCAATAATTACTCTCAGCTTTTCATTACTATTCAAAGGCTAACAATTGCAGAGCACTTTAGAATTTACAATATGTTTCCATAGTATCTTTTTTGTGAAGGCATCTTTCAACATCCTCCTTATTGTAGCAACTAGATCCACACTATATACATTTTCAGTAAGTGACTATAATCTACATTTCTCATGGGTAAATTATACCCTCCCCCCGTTCATAGATTTCTGTGTACCACCCCCAACCTTTAAGCAAACAATCTTCCTCCTTCCATTCCAAAGAACTATAATTAAGAGTTGTTCTATGCTAACCTTTTTTTAAAAGATCTCTTAAGTAATCTCCTCCTCTGGGACAAGCAAATATTTTAGTGGATGCTTCCAAGGGAGAGACATCCACAGAGAAAAGGAAATACATACATAAATCTGTTAAAACCTAATATATTTTGCTGTTATTCTATAACTTCCCCTGCCAGCGGTTTCATTTTTGAAGCAGTTAATCCTATTAACACAATGCCTTTGTGTTATGCCCCACCTAGGAAGGCTAACACAACGGAATGGAAGGTGGGGGGAAAAAGGACCCTGCACAAGCACTTTTATACAGAGGCGGTTGGGATTGCATGTTAGTTTTCTCAGGCAGACTAACTTTTCAAGATGGGTAAAGGGAAAATTAACCTTTCAATCTGATGTCTGTCTCAAAACTACACCAAGACATACCAAAGGAATCTGAGGTAAGTCTGGCCCAAGCTTAACACTCCTTTCTGACTTGGCTGAGAAACTGAGTCAGTTTCAGGCTTGTTTTTCATAACCATAAAATGGATGTTCTAACTACATTCCTATTACATAAAATTTACTAGGAAAAGGTATGTGATCTGGGATGAATTGTTTCTTCCTCAAAATTCATATGCTAAAGTCCTAACCTCCAGAACCTCAGAGTAGGACTGTATTTGACAACTGGGTCTTTGAAGAGGTAATTAAGGTTAAATGAGGTCATGGAGGTAGGCCCTAATCCAATATGACTGATGTCCTTAAAAGAAGAGATTAGGACACCATTCATGCACAGAGGGAAAATCATGTGAACACAAAGAGAAGACAGCCATCTACAAACCAAGGAGAGAGGCCTCAGAAGAAATCAACCTTGCTGGCACTTTGATCTAAAAACTTCTAACCTTCCAGGACCAGAAGCTCTGAAGAAACAAATTTCTGTTTAAGCCACCAGTCTGTGGTACTTAAGGCAGCTCTAGCAAACTAATACAGCAGCCAGAAAGTAGCTACGAAGTTTGGTTTTTTTAATACACTTAAAATCCAAGGATTTCCCCCAAGAATGTCCTCTAAAAAAAAAAAAATCTCGGGGCGCCTGGGTGGCTCAGTTGGTTAAGCGACTGCCTTCGGCTCAGGTCATGATCCTGGAGTCCCAGGATCGAGTCCTGCATCGGGCTCCCTGCTCAGCGAGGAGCCTGCTTCTCCCTCTGACCCTCTCCCCCTCATGTACTCTCTCTCTCAAATAAATAAATCTTTAAAAAAAAAAAAAAGAAAAAAAAAAAAAAAATCTCTACAACTAATAACAGTGACAGATTGAATAATTTCCCCAGAATGTGCACCACAACACTCTTAGCACAGTTATCAATTATTATTTGTTGAATTATACGGGCAGTGTCTTTTAAAAGTCATGAGTGGTATACGAAGGTCACTGCGTAGTATAAAAACTGATGATTGAGCATGGCCAAAGGGGAAAAAAAGTAATTTGACCCACTAGATGAGTAAGCTCTTTTTATCCTTGTACATGCAAATCCCAACATTACTCCAATATAAACTGCTGAAGCTGGTAGACTATTCTGAATCTTTTTTTCATTTTATTTATTCAGGATTTAAACCCCACTTCTTTTCCAAAAAGCTTTGGGATTGCTTGAAAATTTCAAAACGAGTTATACAATGAAAATCATAGTCGAAATTCAGATGTTCATGTGAAGAGAGTAAACAATTCTCACATATTTTTATCTAAACAAAGAAATGGCTTTCAACTCAACAGCGGCTTGGAAGAAAAAGCTCTGAAAGTTACAGTTGAGACAAGTAGAGTAGCTATATAAAATCACCTTTCTAAAGGTTTTTAAGCCTGAATAGATTATTTATGGTGGACAGGGAAGAACAGCTCCTTACAGGTCCTTAAAGTCTTAAAATTGAATAATGAATGTAAAGCAACACAATGTACTAGGCTTTAATTTCAGTTTTAAGAAAAGACTGCATGGATAGGAGATACAAAGGGACTGCATTTAAAAATGAATGTAGTAGTTTTTATGTTATTTATTTTAATAATCAGCCAAAGAAAGCATGTTCAACTACAGATGATTTTTACATTCATCTTAATCCCGTTTTGTTTTTTCCTTATAAATTTTCAGCACTAATATTCCTAACCAAAATACTTATGTGTATATTAGCACTAATATTCCTATCCACAAATATTCCCAAACATTCTAATTATTTTAACTATGTAGCAACTCTACGCTAAGTGATTTACATGTATTTCATCTTCATCACAATTCTGTGAAATGGGTAGTATTTAAGAGGTTATCTTCATTAAAGGTTATCTTCATTAAATACAAATAGAGCTTTACAGTAGATTTATACGATAGGTACCCCCAAATCATGAACTAAATTGCCAGCAAAGTTACTAAAACATCAACACACAAATGAGATTAATTTATCTATAGAAGCAATCCGCCATAGAAGAGGTTTCATAAATTTGACTGAAGAGAATGGGCAATGCCTACATCCACATCAAGGTGACTAAAAACTGTCTCAACAACCCTCCACCCCCACCTTGCTTTAATTTCATGATTTTAAAGTAATCTGCTATAATCTGGACTTTGCTACTGGAGAAAGAGTGACTCTGTCAGTCACCTCCAGCACCTGGTCTACCTAGTTTTATTCCTTATTAAAATGTATAAATTGGTATCTGGTCCTAGCTGGTTGGTTATTAAGAACTAACACTTGATCAGATATGATAAAATCAAGTTCTAGGACCCTCTGAGATGAACACTGGATCTGAGACCATGGCAGTCATAACCCCTCTGGGATTATGCTTAAGGAACCAGCAAGTTCTCCCTCTTTGACAACTCTTTGTTCTTTATCTTCCTATCTTTCAGTTGAGACAATATTAACCTCAGCTGGTATACCTTTCTAATAAACACAGTTTCCATGCACGCGACAGCAAAAACCATCCAGTCCCTTTTAGAATCTACGGACAAGTAAAATTGCAAAACAATTATTTGGGGGGAAAATTACCTTTATTTTTCATTGCCAAGTAAGGGTCACAAAAAATAATTATTCATAAAAGAAAGGATATTAATGGCAGGGGCAGAGGAGGCAATCTCACAATAATAGACTCTAAAAAAAAAATGAAGTGAATTTAGCTTTAAGGAAAACCCATTAGAGAGTCTCACCTCAACAAAGATGGACTCCAGGGGCAACTGATCTAATTTAGCAACTGCATGAGGAAATTGAGACAAAGAAGAGTTGACCACTTTGCCTAAGATCGCACATCAGCATCTCAAATCTTGGGTTCATTGCCATTTCCAGCACACAGACTCGGGAACTCGTTCCACAGGAAAAGCTAAAATCCTGCTATAATGGCAACCCTTATATTATTCCCACTTATCTTGATGCCATTATCACCACTGGGTTTGGTTTTCAGTCTACACACATTTATAGTGAAATATTATATTTTGGCATTATTTCTGGTAGCTGTAGCATGAAAAGACCAAAGTCTGATGAATAAGTGAGGCTTTTATAAACTGTACAGTCTTCAGAGGATCTGATGTACCCACGGCAACTCTCATAAATCAAATTTCCTTTTAACTTTTCCTGGCTCAACAATCCTACGTTCTACAGAATACTGATGTCAAATACTAACCAAAAGTAGATCCAGTCATAAAAATAATTTTTAATCCTCCATTCACAATATACCATAGACAAGTACAAAGTTTGCTTGTTTGTTTTTGGGGGCTTTTTTTTTTTGGTTTTGTTTTGTTTTTGGAATGATGAGAATATAGCTATTTAGCCAAGAACACTTCTTCGAGGTGGTGGGACTTACAATGAGCTTTGACAGATGGAAGGCGTTGTGAACACACAAATTTAAAACCCATATTCAATAGTGAATGAGGAGGAAAGAAGTAAATTAGACTTTTGTATTTTATCCAATTAAACTATAGTAGTAGGAAACAGACACTTTTTGATTCTTTAATTCCTTCTACGAGGAGATGCCCCTTCCTTGTGCAATTTAGCCTGCTGCAGCATAGGCACATAAAAGAGAACTCAACAGCACATGGGTAATATTTAGAACCAGAAAGGAGAATTTACCAAAGGCCCTGTAAACGTCAATAAAACTTCATTTTTCTTGTTCTCATTAGACAGCAAATAGTGAATGACCTTGTCCTTTACAATGTCAACCCCTGTGGTCTCAGGCTGCTTTTTCTGGTTTCAGATCTCTGATTACCCTCCCTTTCTCCTAGAACATTTTTCTAACTACATGGAAATGGTTTTCATGTTGACATTTCAAAAGTCACTCTACAGAATCTAATGGTAGATTAAACCATTCTTTATGTATAATTATCGGATTCTCATTTATTCTGTCATCAATTTCAAGACAGAGAATAAGTCAGTTCTCAAAGTTTAAAAAAGTTACTGCTGCAATTTGGAGGAAAAATAATTATTCATTATATAGCTAATAAAGTAATAGCAACTTGCAATTATCATTACAGAACAAACTAATGTCATTTTTCCACTTGTCAAAGCATACCTACTATATTTTCTCATCTAGGACTAACTTGTTTCAGTTCTGTCAACTTCACTAGGGTAAATCAATTATCACTTACCATTAATAAGCAGAGAGCTATCGGATCCTGGATATGAATAGTTTAGACGACCTGAAGGTAAAAGAAGGCCGTTACTAAATTTATTTTTTTCATAGATGGTTTAAATGTATTCAGTAACAAAGCTGAATTAATAGCTTTAATAGGTAAGATATTTTTAAAAAGCTTTATTATGGGATAAAACTTTGCTGTGCTAATGAACACAATGAGTCAGAGGACATATCAATCAGCATGTTCACAAACATCCAAAAAGGGCAAGTTTGAAAGTGGGAAAATAAAATATCCCTCATATTTAACTATTTGTTCTCTAATTTCCAAACTCCCATACAAAGTAATTTTCTTTATAACATTATATTCTAATAGAAACTCGTAATAATAGTTTTTTTGCCCCATAAATGTGAAAATGTTTTCATGTGTGTAGTTTTTTTGTTTTTTAAAAATACATAATTAGCAGGAAGATTTCTCTATATAATTCAAAACAAAAGTGCCAGACTTATGCCTACATGTACAGACACACTAATGGGTTTAAATTCTCACTTTGGAGGAAAAGTACAGAAAGTAAGAAAAACATCACTGTACTTACAGGTGACAGAAAGTATCAAAGCACATAGCACAATGCCCAAAGCACAGCAGGTACTCAAAAAATGCTGGGTTAGTTTCCTTCTAATTTTGAAGTGGTTCAAAATCTAGTTTTGAACCTAAAATGGACACCCAAGATGTCCATCAAAAAAGAATTTGTGACAGTACTAAACTTTTTGGAGGATGCAACATCTTTCCAAATTAGTAGCCACAAATAAAGGGGGGAAATAGCACTGGGATTTCTCCCTTTATCAGGAATTACATTTCTGTTTTGGAAGAGTTTCTACATATTGAGTTGAGGTATCCAATCCACATACCATATACCTATTCTGAGTACCATACCATATGCCTGGCTCTATGCTGTAAGTTATAAAAAATCATTAGGGCAACATTTTTAAGTCTCCATATTCTACATCTACACCCACCTTCATAAAAATGATGGAAAACCCTCTACAAGTCTTGCTCATTTAGAGAATGAATAGGAGAATGTGACTGTTAATTATATACCATAGTCAGTACTCTGTAAATTGGGTAGTGTGAGAATCTAAAATTGATTCATAATTATAGACATTCTACTAGGAAACAGCAGCCTAAACTCTAATTCCACAGAATCACAGCAGACTCTCCAAAGCTATGGAAAAAGTGGGGAAGCAGCCTTAAGGCTGAGGCAAGCCTTCCAAGATGCCAGAAAGGCTCTATCTGGTTCCACTGAACAACACTATGGGAACCAGAGCCAGTATGTGGTCCTATCAATCCACCAGCTATATATTTACAACTCTTGAGGAAAAAGGAACTTTAGGCCTCAACTATCCTTCAACTTCTCAAAATTCTGCTTCTTTGAAATAGTCTCTAAAGAACTGAACTCACACCATCAAAAAAGAAAACCATTCTCTATTGCTAATAGCTTTAATTAACCCATATCCAAAGTTTGGGGGTCTGATATGAAACAAAATCTGAACTTAACAATTTTCCTACTACAATTTAAAACCAAATACAAGGGTTATTAAGTTATTAGGTCACTTCAATTTCAGCTTGTTTCTATTTAGAGTGAAGGTAGGGATGGAGATGGGGAAGGAGGTGGCAAAAATTAATTTTGATATTTCAATGTCTTTCTAAAAATTGGCTCAATTATTTAAGGCTAACATAGAGAGCCAAGTATCCAAATCCAGTGAATTCCATCTGAACTGCTTTTAACTATAAACCTGGATCATATAACCTGTCACAAGCACATTTTTTAAAAAGTACAGACTGGAGATATTGGAAGAACATGACCTTAACTGTTACAAAAGTTAGGAGGGGGTGAGTTGTGCTTCTGAACCAGTTAACTCAAAGTAGCAGCTGATTTTCTGGAATGGAACACATGTATAAATTTTATAGCTGTAAAAACCCTCTAGTAAATAAACTAACAGAAGTGTCACACATACCATTTTTATTTACCATAAAATATTTTTTTAAGTTGATGTAGGTCAACACACAAAGTATTTAACTATGTTAAACAAAGTTTAAGAGGAAATTCTTTATTTCGGAGAAGACACTCTAATTTTTTTAACACTAACATTTCAATTGAAACCAGAACTGTTCCATATGAACTAAATGCTTCTCATTTGATGCCAAGAAGGGATAATGAACAATGAGAATCCAAAAGACAAATTACCAAACTGGCTGGCCCAGTTTAAACAAATCAAGTTCCACCTTATCAGAAACTCACCTTTTGGGTACCTCTTTTTAAGGAGAGAGAGATAAGAAGACTATTTCAACTTGACAGACACAAAAATGTCCCTTAATTCAGTTCTCAGAGTTTGCCTCAATGCACCGCTCCTGAAGAGATCCTACCCTATACCGCCAAGGTAGGTGACCTTTGATACTTTTTCTGCTCTTCAGACTTCTGAATGCAGTAATTCTACCCTTCAGCTAAGACAATAGGGCACTGAAGAATCATTGGCAAAGTTCATAGTTTAACTCTGAAAGTGATACTTGTTTTAATTTTCTAACCTGATCTTGTGAAATGAGTCCTGTCAGGCTGGAATCAATTTTGGCCTCTGAGTAACAAATACACCTGTGACATTTTGTTAACCAATCAGTAATGCTTTCTATTTCAATTTTTAAAATATAAGCCATGACATTTTTTAAAAAACTTTTTTTTTAACTTCATAATGCTTTCTTAACCTGCCTGTCCTATCTTTCTGTAAACTTTTTCTACAATTACAATATCTAGAGTCATCCATTCATGCCATCTATTACGGATAACCCGTATCACTTCCTTTCTGGAAATCTTCCGTAAGCTCTCATTGTAAGTGTCGTGAGACTTTCAAGTCTTCCTTTCATTCTCCTTGTATACCCTTCATTTCTGCTCTAAGATCCTCTCTGTTCTATGAATGCCAATTTATACAGGCATTTCTGCATTTTCTGTCCCACAGCAAGATCACAGACAGTCCCCTTTCTAGTCTGAGACAGTTCCCTCTTCCTTTGTTCCCAGTGGAGGGTATTTTTCAAATTTTTTTTTTTTTGTTCCTTCAGATTCACCTCTTTCAAGGGCAACTTTCCCAAAAAGGCAACCCCCTTTTTAGATTAATTCACCAACTTTTCTTTCTAGCTATGTTGCAACAGTCAACCTTCTTAGGTAAATCATTTTAGCTACTAACTTTTTTCTCTCTTTTACCATAATAGCCCCCTTTAAGAATTAGAGCTTTTTTTTTTTTACCTAGGTACCTTGAGTTTCCTTGAGTACCATGTAAGCACTCAATGAGTTCATTCCACTGAACTTAAAATACCAGCATTTCACAAATGAATAAAGTGAAGTAAAATAAAAATAAACAAGCTATCTGAGCTGAATATAATCCAGTGTTTGTGGGTTGTTTTTTTTTTTTTTGATAACTCATCGATCCATAAATATAACCGAAGTTTTGGCACATCTAGAATTGAATTTCTCAAGGGAGAAGGAGGGCTTTGGGATTTCAGGCAAGTGAACCCTATTTGGTGGATAAAATTCAATCTTTGAAGGCTCCTGGTATTGCTTGTGTTATAAAGAAATACTGCCTGATCAGCAGCCCTAATCTTATGACAGGACGTTATGACAGGAAAGTAATAGTCTCTGGAGGCCAGCTGTGGCATTTGGAGCCAGAAGCCTGGCATACATCATGCAGAAGGCATAGACTATATTTGGTGATATGACTCAACCTAGCCAAATATAGGCAACTGATACACTGTGACTCTGGGGAACTAAACTACCAAATTCTACAGCCCAGAAAAGATCCGTACTTCAACTAGGCAATTCTATGCCAGGCATTTGCAAGTTGGAGAACCAATATTTACCAACCAGACTAAGAACTGCCCGGGTGAGTAAGTGCCCAAAAGAACACGATGTACTGTCATATTCTTTTAAGACTAAAACTAAAGTAACCTAGTCAATGAGATGAAAGGAGGAAGGACTAGAAGGAAATATTCTAATACATTAGAGTATATAAATGTATATTTTCTTTTCAAAATTAGAGAAAAAGTTATTTTCTAAAATGTAATGCAGATATTATTGCTACTGATGATTCAGCAGGAATTGATATAATAAATGCTGCTATTTCAAATAACAAACACTGAAAAATATCAAATGTTCTACAGAGCTATTAGACTTCATGCTATGACCTTCTCTTTTTCAGTCATACTAGCATTGTTGGTGATGTGTGTAGGCTAAGGAATGATAATACAGAATAACTGCAAGGCTATCCAAAATACAGCATGCAGTCCTAGAAAGTGACAAGTAATGTGAAATTCTAAGTTAATTTTTTTGATTGACTTACACTATAAAAACTTGGATACTCCAAAGAAAAGGGAAGGGTTTTCAGTGGACACCATTAAAAATTTCTAACAGGAAAAGAAGTATGGGCTTAGGCCCGTTTTTAAGGTAGAGCAAAGATTTACACACACCACACACATCCATACATGAACATACACATACATTTGTTGTTGTTTAGCTAGAAGTGTTCCTCCTGCTCTTGTTCCTGCTAATTTTCCTTAGTTCACATTTAAGTCAAAGCTATACTGCCACAAATAATTGTTTAAAGGAGGTGCTGCTCCACCTGCCTTTCTGCATCTGTGGTTTTTACCAACACTGCCTGAGATTTGCAGCAAGATGGCGCTGTGGGGACCCAGACAACGCAGAGCAAGGCTCAAGAAACGTGGAATAAATTCAGTTTCCGAATACCAAGTTTTTACTTCTACAGATGCAGAACACATATCAATATGAACTAATAAAATGTGTTCACTGGATCCTATTATTTAATGATATAAAGATAATTATTTTAATAATTTATTCTATTGACCCAAAAATAACTCCCCAAATCAAAACCAGTACCTTATTCTACCTATCTATGATACAACCAACTTCCAGTAAAGATGCTTCCATGCAAAATCACAGAGGAGGAGCTGGCTGGGGCTGACATCAGCTGGAGAATCTTGCCCCTCACCCACTCAAAGTGCCATTT